GGGCCGGGGCTCAGGACCCACCTCACACCCGCAGAGTGGCCACGGGATGCTGACATTCACAAACCATGTAACACGTCCCCCCACTTGTCCAGTGCACTCCCAGCCCAGCACTCTTACCCAGAACCGGGTGAGACACTGAACCAATTCAGAGATAAGGGTAAGATTTATATTCCTGTGGACAGTGGCATGATCACTTAGCCCTTGGGTGCAAATTCCAGCCAGCGGCTGATGGGAATGTGGTCCCTGCCGGAATGAAAGCACCTGACGTCTGTCTGCGCCAAGGCAGGTGGTGAGTCAGGTGTGACGCTTGTGTACCAGGACTGGGAGCAGTCTGCTCCAGCCCGCGTGCATTGTGCGTCGTCACACCAGCCGACTCGCACTGCAGCACCAGTGGTTTCTAACAACTCCCTGCAGAATGGAGCCTGTGAGAAGAAGGAAGTAACTCGGGCAGTTCCACACCCCGCGTTCTCCATTTCCTCCCGCAGAGCAAGAGAACTAGAACTTGCTAGCAGTGCCCTGGCCAGCCAGGGCTCTTCGAGGTCCTGAGGCAGCAGGTGAGGTCCTTAAGGGGCATGTCCAGGTAGAAGAAGGAGGCGGCTGCCCACCAGGGCTCTTGTCTCCCAGGCAGTTTCCAAACAGAAGTCTCCCCACTGCCAAGTCCTTCGGCTTGCCTTGTTCTTCCCCACCTCACCTCTCGCCAGCCCAAACACCGAGCGAAGGAGGGACAGAGAACCTTACAAAGCTTGTCCGCGCTGCTCGGCTGGAGTCCACGGCTGCGTGTGCTGTGTCCACCTGACTGGGTAGCTAGTCTACCTCCAGGATATGTTGGGGACGAAGAGACAGCTTCCAGGTCCCAGACTGTAATTTTTCTCCAGCGGTGGTCCAAGTGGGGCTGGCAGCAGAACCCTGAAGGACCAGGCAGGCAGTCCCGGCCCTGAGAGAGGTAGAGGGGCCCCGACAACTTGCACTTCATGCGGAAGATCCCCTTCTAGACTTTGGCATAAAAGTCTCCGTTTCCTTCTTAAGTTAGGGTAAGAAAAACTCCTGTCAATAATGTTTGGGATGAAGCCTCACATTCACATTGGCCTCAGTGGCCCATGTTTCCTGAAGTCATCCACCCAAGGCCAGTCCGACAGCTGAGTGGACTTGATCCTTTTGTACAGAACTGGGAGTCAGCTGACCTTGAGCTCTTCCTCCCCACCAGAGAGGCACTGCCCCTGGTGGAGAGAAAGCGAGGGCCCTGCTGTTATACAATGGAATGTGGACACTGGCAGAAGCGCCTCCAGAGGAAGGCCCAGGCCCAGAGAGGGGAGGTGACCTACCCAAGGTCTCGGGAACTGGGGCAGAGCCAGGGCTCCTGGTTTCTTAGCTTTGAGTTAAAAATCATTTGACTTTCCATGAAAATAAATACTAAAAATATTGCCAAGTTACCACAGCCCATATTGGTAAGCCTCATTCCCAGTGACTTTGCCCAAAAGGCTGTGTTTTCTGTTTTCTAACTACAGTCTAAATCGCTTAAAAAATTGAAAAGCCATAATGTTCCATTCAGAAGGCAGTCCCGTTAGGTGACAGGCTCCACTTCATGGCCTAAAATTAATCACGTTTATCGGCTGCATAGAGGATGTTGTAGTGGGAAGTTTTATAGAGCAGGTAAACGGAAGGGATGGCAGCCTCGGGGAACACGTGGTGGTTCAGGGCCGTGTCCATCTCGTCCACGTACTCCACCTGCAGGGCGATGCTCAGCGCCTGGGACAGGGCCGTGATCTGGATGTGGTCACACTCCATGGCCATGGGCTCCACTTCCTGCAAAGGCCAAAATGGGAAACGCCAATTTAGGAAGGAAGCCCGGCTCTCGTGTTCCTGGCTCAGAGCGTGCCTGCAGCTGAGCCCCTGCTGGTTGTGGCCACGCAGGAGTAAGGCCTGGGAGCTACATCTGGAGAAATCCAGATTTTCCTCTGAAAACTGCCCAGGGTTTAAATGTTGGCAGCTCTTTCAGGTTCATGGTATGCATCATAAACAAAACACAACTTGGGGCAAATGTGACTTCGGGGCTGCTACTCCTTAATTATGTCCACAGTCCAGTCCGAAGCCCTATTTCTCAGATGGGAAATCTGAGGCCCAGAGCCACACAGTTCAGGCAGCTCACGGAGGATGCTGCTGGCGGGCTCATCCGTCCTCCTGGCCGGGGAGGCTGGTGCTCAAGTCCCCTCGGGAGAGAGGGTGCAGAGCAGAGCCCAGGGCTGGGGGCCGCGTCCCCACGGCCCAAGACCCGGAGGACCTACGTGAGTGCAGAAGTCTTTGATGTCCATCTCCTCGTCGATGAAGTGCCGGAAGAAGTCTGCGCGGTTCCTGATGAAGGCGGAGGTGAGCAGGCGCAGGAACTGCACGATTCTGTCGGAGGCGCTCTGGTCGTTGAACACCTTCAGCAGGCTGGCCACCGAGCCGTCCTTCTCCACCAGCTCCACCACACTGTAAAACTGGGCCCGGGGTCAGCCACGGCACAGCCAGACCCAAGCCACTGCCCTCCGTCCGCGGGACGCCCGCCGCCACAGGTTCACTTTCAAATCCTCAAGATCGCGCCAAAGCTAAGTAATGAGGGACTCAGCCCGGAGTCAGGTCTAGCGCACGGCAGTGGGGGTCTCCCTCCATCACGCCCTGGGATTGTTACTTAGAGATTCAGAACTGAGCGCCCCCTTCAGGAATGGGGTCAGGGAGTGGGGTGGAGAGGAAATGGGGGGAAGAGATTGAGGGAGCGTTTCCAGCCTGAGAGCTACTCTAAGGAGGTGCCTCCTCCCAGGGGGAGGGCAGGGCTCTGAGCTCTGTGTCCCATATCCCCACCCGCAGGAAGCATCCCTCAGGCCTTCCCAGCTGGGAGGAGCAAGTGAGGCACAACCACAGAGCCGCGGGCTGGGAAGGGGCTAGGGCCGGAGCCCATCCTGTCTGCTGGGCCAGCGTGGAAGGCCCCGGTGGTCAGCGTCGCCGCAGGTTAACTCACAGCATTAAAGAAGTTTCGGAACTTGTGCTCCTCAAAGCCAGCAGTCAGAAGGTCATTTGGGGTCTGCAGTACCCGCTCTTTGAACCTAAAGGGACAGGTGGATGCTTACAGGGAAGTACAGGGAGCGCTGCTGTCACTGTAGCTGTCACCCCCTCACCAGCTGTCCCCCAATACAATGAGAAGGCATGTCACTAACAGGGGAAGGACCTCTCTGCCTCTCAGGGCACTGCCTCATGGACCACACACTGACTTGTTCTGTCCTCACTGTGTACCATCCAAGGAGGTGAGTATTATACCCATTTCTCAGATGAGGAAGGTGAGGTAGTCACCACCTGCTCCCAGACAAAGGCCTCTTGGCTCTGTCCCTCCTTCTGTCTCCAGGGTTCATCACCATCTCTGGCCTGGACCATGCCTGGCCTTTCCTTGCTCCTGGTCGTTTCTCCACAGGGACCTCCGAGTGACCTCCACAGCCTTCTCCCTCAGCACCGGTGTCTGGCCTAGCTCACCAACCTCATCTCTAATCCAGTCCACAGCCTCCCTCCCGCCCCACAGCCATTCCCCATGTGCCTCTCACCCCTTAGTCCCCCCTGTCCCCTCAGCCAGGGATGCTCTTCTCAGTAGTGTGCTAGCAACAGTTTGTTCTCATTCACAAGAGCTAGTTGTTAAGTTTTTAAGAATTTTGCCAGCCAGGTGTTAAACACAGCCATTATTTAAAAACCAAGTTATGTACACTTTTAATTAAGTTATGCTAATAATAAAGATAATACTCAAAACTCATCATTTTCTGATTATTTTACTATTATATGCTCTTAAGGTTCTCTGTCGGTTGTGTACATATGGTAGAAACACAATGTCACTCAGAAAATGCTATGAATGACTCACTCAAAAGAAGGACCAGGTGGCTTAATTTCTACCCCCTTGGAGAGGATCTATCTTTGGAACAGGAGATGGCCTTAACCTGGCAGTTCTCAACCAGGGTGCCTCCCCTACCACACACCCCCCACTCTGCCCCAGGAGATACTGGCAATGTCCGGATACATTTTTGATTGTCCTGGCTTGAGGGTGCTCCGGACATGGAGTGGGTGGAGGCGAGGGATGCTATGAACATCCCACAGAGCACGGGACAGAGGCCAACCCCACAGCAGAGCAATCCTGCCCGAAATATCAGCAGTGCCGCCATTGAGAAGCCTGCCTGGCCAGGGGTTCGGACACCAGGGTCCACAGGTCAGCCCTGAGTGCTCTGCGATTGTTCGGTCCTTGGCTCCATCCCCGGCCACTTGGCTGCCCCACCTCCAACACGGCAGGCAGCTGGGCATCCCCGAACATCAATGCCGCTGCCAGGCAGCCCTCCAGCTCCCACCCTGGGTTAAGTGGGCTGTGCCGAGGAAAAACCCTCTATGAAATTCAGCGCCGAAGTAGCAGGAGCCCACCCCGCCCCACTCACTTGAGGACCTCTCTGCCCTTCCCCAGCAGCGACTCCAGGTAGGAATAGCCCAGAGCCCGGTAGAAGCAGTTCCCATCCCCCTTGGTCTTGCGGATGGCGATGAACCTTTTGCTGAGTTCCTGTGGGAGACAGGGCAACGTGGACATCTGCAGCAACACCCCTGCTGTCATCTGCTGTCAGGGCGGGCCCGACTCCCCCAGGAACACGCTCCCTCCCCTCAGACTGCCCACCCCTTCACAGTCTGATCTGCGATCCTCTCCCCCGACCCCCTGCCTCACCTGGATTTTCCTCTGGTAAATCCTGTTTTCAGGATGATCCCGGAGAATTGAGAGAATGTCACATTTCTCTGATATTAGGTGGAAAGATGTTTCAGTCTGAAAGCAAAAGAAGCAAAGGGGGACACTTTCAAAAGCAACTGATGGGCCCTCACCAAGTTCAAAGCCTCTGAACTGCGAGTTATCTGACATCGCGACTGTCATCTTCCCCAAGAGACATGTGTGAGACGTTACCGGGGTCCTGCATGCCCTGTTCCCTGGACAGGGAGTCAGGTCGCCCCCCATGGAAGGTACTATCTGGTACCCTCCGGACTGATTCATCATCTAGAATATAATGCCTCAAACCCAGCGAACCTTCATGCTGGAGCACGATGTGTTCCCTTGCCGCCTCTGTCCTTCCCGTCTCACTCCCTCATTCATTCCTTCTTGCAGTCACCCAACAATTCCCAAACACCCAGCCTGCACCAAGCAGTGCTAGAAATGCAGAGGTGGTAGCATCTGGCCGGATGCACCACCTACTGGTGAGAGCTCATATTGCAGCCCAGCTCGGAGTCCAGGTCAATTCCAACTCCTGGCCCAGAGTCTGGGCCTGGGGCCTGGGGTGACTGAGGAGTCACCTGGCAGGGAGCAGGGGGTGGCAGCAGGGAGCTCAGCGCCGAGGAAGGTGCAGGAGACTCTGTACTAACAGCCAGTCCCCTCAGGCCAGGCCTCTGCCTTTCGCTTTTCCTGCCAGACTCAGGGCTCAGATGAGCGGGGAGCGGCACCCCGGCCTCCAATGCACCCGGGAACAGCTCTGATTTCAGCACAAAAATAACGTGGGGGAATCTGGTGTTAAAGCCACTGGGGGTTCAGTTTAAAACCTGTGGCCCTGGTACCTGCGCACAACCCAAGGGGACAGTTCTTACGCAACAGTTCACAGCTGAGAGGTTGGCGTTAATGGGGAGTTTGTCAACGGAAAGCCAGTTTTCCATCAATTTATTGCCATCGTTTTTGACGAGTGCCTCCACCCACACGAGCCTTTCTGGGGCGGCCTCTCGGCCCCGATTCCTGTACCCAGCATCCAGGACAGAGGAGAGGTGCTACGACTAAGAAGCATTTGGGGGGAGGGGGGGGCCTGGGTGCCCCGACCGATCAATGTGTCCCAAGCCACACAGACCTTCCTTGGCACAGGACAGCTTGTCAGACCCTCTGAGACCTTCTGTTCACCTGGCTGATTCCCAGGGCCCATCCCAGGCCTTGGACAGAGGAACGGATGAGATGTTCGTTGAATAGATTTCACCCCATCTGCACCCTCTCCCCTCTAGGAAGAGAATCCTCTGGTCCTTGCAGGTGCCTTTCGTTACTACCCAATGGCTCCTGAACAGCCAGGCCTTGGGCTCATGCCTCTACCTGTACCCCCTGCCGCCCTGTGGACCCCCGTCAACTACCCGTTAGTGCATCTGTGAGCACCCTCCAGCCAGGCTCTGAGGTGCTGGTGGGCCTCTCATGGGTCCACCCTGGGCCCTAGCGGCCAGCCCAGCCTCCCTCAGAGGCCACTCTGCAGGGCCACCTTGGGCTGAGTCAGCCTTGTGAACCGGGCCCAGCCGCCCCGAAGCCACAACTCATGGCGTGGCCACAGCCGCCAGCTCCGACTCCTAGAGGCCAGAGCCTCCAGGCTGGCCCAGCAGCAGGGCAGGCCCAGAACCTGGCCCACCTCCCTCCTAGAAGGTACCATCACTTCCAGAGGCTCCCGGGGGCTCAAGCCTGGCTTTGCCTGCCTGGGGCTAGGTCTCCAGAGTGAGCTGGCTCAGGGGCTGTGAGGAAATGCCCTTTTAAATGTCTGCTTTAGGAGCGATGTGTATATACAAATACGCGGAATGATCAAAACAGTTTTACTCAGGTGAGTAATCAAAAATGCTTGGAGGCCGAAGACTTAGGAAAGGCCTAGAGCCCTGAATGCGTTTCCTATCGCTGTCTCACAGATTAGCACAAAGTCGGGAACTGAAACAGCACGGACTTACCGTTACCTGCGTTTCCTGGAAGCTCGGGGGAGAACCCATTTCCTTAGGTTTTTCCTTTTCTACCGGCTGCCGCACTCCTTGCTCATGATCCCTTCCCTCCATCCTCCCGGCTCCTTCTCACTCTGACCCGCCTGCCTTCCCCCTTCTAAGGACCCTTGCGATGACACATGGGCCCCCCTGGTAACTCAGGGTACCTCCCCTTCCGAGAGCCTCACCTTCCTCACACCTGTTGTTGCCGTGTGAGGTACCCTGTTCAGGGGTTCTGGGATTAGGCTGTGGGCATCGTTGGGGGGCTATGACTCAGCCCACCATCCCAATGCCCCTTCTCTGCTGCTTAGCTCAGAAAATAGGGAAGACCCTGTGCTTGGGCCCCCATATGTCTTGGGTCACAGCTATTGGCTGGCCGTGCAGAGACCCTGAACTAGAGACTGGTCCCCCTCTCATTTGATGCCTGAACTTGTACAATATCCTCAGAACTGGTCTCCGGCTCGGACCTCTTCCTGGAGATCTGGCCTCAAACAACCACCAGCCACTGGCATGTCTGACCAGCACCCCCAAATCACTGTGCCCCTACCTGCTCTCTCACTCCACCTCGGCCTCCCCTCTCAGGTGTCCCCAGCTCCCCTAAAGGCCCCTCCAGCCGGCAGAGCTCACACCGAAGACCCAGGAGTCCTCTCCACCTCTTCTCCTCCCCCATCAACCTGTTCCTGGGTCCAACCTGAGCTGCCACCATCTCCCCCAGCCCCAAGAGGCTGCAACAGGGTCCCTAATGGACTCCTGGCTTCCAGCCCCGCCCCCATCCCGACCATCCGACGCAGCACCCAGGGCTGGCGGCTCAACATGTAAACCAGGCGATGGCATGCTCTTCCTCAACACCCCCAGTGGCTTCCCTCCCTCGGGAGAAGACTGAGAGGACAGCTCCCACCCTCCACCTTCCCTCCCTCTGGCTGAGCCCCAGCCACAGTGACACTCAGTCTGATCCTCCAGCAAGACACACACGTTCCTGCCTCAGAGCATCCACACCTGCTGTTCCTGCTGCCTGCAATGCTCTGCTGCCTCCTCAGGTGACTCGGTGACGTCACTGCCCCCAGACAGGACCACCCAGTTTCATTTCATCCCTCTGATGCACAGGTTCCCTCATTCACTTGCACACTGTCTCCCTCCCTCCACTAGGATGTCAACTCCATAAGGGCAAGGACTCTGCCTGCCAGGACTAGAGCCCCAGTGCTGGCACCCAGAAATGCTCCAAAACTACATGCTGAGTGGATGACAGTGAGCGGATGAGCCAGTCTCAGACTCCAGCCCTGTGTCCACTGCACGCCAGAGCGATCATCAATGTCAACCAGCTCTTCCTGCTCAAAATTATCTATGGTTCTTCCCACTAGCAGAGTAAAACCCAACCCACGGCGCAACACGTTCTGACCCCGCCTGCTTTTCTTTTCTTTTTTAAAACATAGTTTTATTGATTTCAGAGAGGAAGGAAGAGGGAGACAGAGAGAGAATCATTGATCGGCTGCCTCCTGCACGCCCCACATGGGATCAAGCCCGCAACCCAGGCATGTGCCCTGACCGGGAGTCAAACCATGACCTCTGGTTCATAGGTTGGTGCTCAACTACTGAGCCACGCCGGCCGAGCCCCACCTACTTTTGTAGACTCAGCTCTCCCCCCAGCTCCCTGCACCCACACCGACCACTATCCTTCCCTAGAACACCCCATTCTTAACCATATTTCCAGGCCTCCGAGCATGCTGTGCCCTCTTGCCTGGGGTGCATTCCTCCCACGGTCCCTCCTGAAGGAACATCCTTCAACACCCAGTTGCCAAGCCCTCCCGGTGAAGCCCTCCCGCACTCCCCCGCCCTTAGAGGGTGCTGGCTTCCCGCTGTGCTCCCAAAGCCCTGGTCAGACCTCAGGCCAGGACCAGGGGCTCCAGAAGTGCTTGTGTCCGGCTAGGTCTTGACCCACAAGCACTAAGAGCGGGCAGGCCCTGGCCTTTGTCCTCAGTGCCCAGCATGACTAGAATGCCCACTGGGGTCTTGTTTGACAAGTAAAAGCACAAAGCCACAGAAGGGCCCTGTGGTTTTCTGTTCACTACTGACACCCATGCATTCACCCAACGTTAAATGCACTTCGAGTGAGCATGGGACCCTCACCAGCTACAGCCCCCTGGCCCCCCGCGGCAGCCCAGGTCTGGTCCTCATCCTGGCCCTGTCTCCCCACGGGGTTCTGTGTCTTCTAGCTGGGACCTTCCTCAAGCGCAGCCCATGACTTTGAAACGGGAAAGGAGAGAAGACGCTGTATCTTCCAAAGACATTCTCCTCTGCCCACCACGCACACACTCATCACCACTCACACCACACAGCCCAGGGTCCACCACAGTGCCTGGCAAACAGCAGGTGTTCAATAAATGTTGAGTGAATAGAAGAGAACAGACCCACATAGCCTGCTCCCCCCCCCCCCATTATTAGGGAGGCTGGGTGCCTTGGAGATGTCCTACTTAGTGGGCTGATCACTTCCTCTTGGAGGCACCCAAGCCTCCCAGTGACGGTGACCGGGTGAAGGTGTGATGCTTTGACCCCACCTGCCCTCTAACTTCCAGTCTCATGAGTCCAGGGCAGGCAGGGCGGCGGGGTCAGAGGTCTCACTGTACAGCACCAAGGGCGGAAGCTGAGGTCCCAGACCCCACTGTCCCTGCGGTTTTCTCAGCTACCCAGTGGTGACCAGAAGGCACCCAGCCTCCAGCTCCAGGTTGGCTAAACCCATTATTACCCCACCTCAGACTACTCCCTGGTGGGTGATGCACAAACACCTGGGCCCCTTTCAGGGCAGCAGAGCCAGGCAAGCCCTTGGGCCCCGGGTAGAAGCAGGAAGCGGTGCTTCCTCATGCTCCAGAGACCTCAGCCACACCTCAGCAGCGAGCTGGTTTGTCCAGGACGCTGGGGCTCAGGTGACCCGGCTGCCCACGCCACACCCAGAACGTGTGGGGCCATGACCCGGCTTTGACCCCTGACCCTGTCCGGCAGCATACAGCAGTAGTGACCCATTTCCATGCCCAGACACAGGGGGAGGACACCGAGCAAAAAGAACCAGGCACCTGTGCACACCTATTGCCAGGACTCTGAGCACAGAAAAAGCCATCCCCCGCCCCCCATGTGGTCCCCTTGGCAGCCCATTTTACAGATGAACAAAATGGTGCAAGGGAGGGGACGGGGCCAGCCAAAGCCTCTGGGCTTCCCAAGGGGTGGAGGTGAGATTTGAAGGCAGTGCTGTGACTCCCTGAGCCACCCGCCTTTCCACTCCACAGGACAGGGGGGTGGGGGAGGGAGAGGGGACCCACAGGGGAGGGTTCAGGGCGGCAGCTCAGCAGCCCCCTGGCTGCCTGGCCCCTCCCAACCCGGGAAGGTGCCCTGATGGAACAAGAGCACTGGGGCGAGTCCAGAGGCTCGGGTTCAAGTCCAGGCTCCCCCAGACCGCCCGTCCCCTTCCTGTCTGGGCCTCGTTTCCCCACCCGCTCAAGCCCCCGGTTTCTCAGCTCAGACGGGGCTCTGAACCAGGGGCTCCTCCAGTCTTGGCTTCGCCCTCCCTCCTCCCCGTGCGAATCCCCGCTCCGAGCACCTGCACATCCGAGCACCTGCGCTTGATGTCCGGGACAGACGGGCTTCAGTGACCCGGCCACCGCGCACGCCC